TTTAGTGGGAGGAGCTTTTACTTTTAACATGTCAGTTGTAGAATAAGCACTGTATGTAAAGTATAATTCTTGCCTTTAAGTATGTTATAATCTGAGAATTCAAGATGACAGATAATTGGGAGACTTTCATGATTTTTTATGTTTATGCTTATGAATCACAATGTAGTCTAGCACGATTTGTCAGTTAACCAATTTTAATCACACACACACACGTATTTCAGACACTTGATAGGTTCTAGGTATGGGAAACAAGGGAACAACATTTCCTCCTCAAGGAACTTCAATCATAGTGAGAGGAACACAGAAGTAAACAGAAGTCCAAGTTCACACTCCTTTTTCTCACCTTGATGAGACATCATGTCTCTGTCCCTCTGTTATATCTGCTTTACCTCGGATCCTGATCTTTATGAATCTGATTTAATTATATCTCCAAATTCAGTTAGCTTACCCCTGTGGGTCTTCTGGAAAACTCTTGGTTTCATTTCTTAAGTATATTGGTCTATGTATTTGTTTCACTCTTTAAGTTTATAAATTTTTTAATATTATATTTATTTATTATTATTTTACTTAATTATTTGACTTTGGTGGGGGTGGGGGAGGTAGTCAGGTTTATTTATTTTTAAACAAGGTATTAGGGATTGAACCCAGGACCTTGTGAATGCTAACCATGCACTCTACCACTAGAGCTATACCCTTCCCCTTCTTAAAGCTTTTTAGGATTATGAATAATGGAGGTATTTCTTCCTTACTTCCTTGAAGCCTTTGGTCATATATCATTTTCCCAACCAGGGCTTTCTTAACCACCATTATGAAAATTGCAGCCATGTCCTTCTCACAGCCCTTCATCCCCTGCTCCATTTTCCCCTTTTTCCATAGCACTTATCACTTTCTGCCATACCATAAACTTTTACTTATTATGTTTACTATGTATTACCTCCCTCACTCTCTTGTTCCACGAAGGAAGTCATTTCTATATGTTTGGAGCACAGATCTACCCAAAGCACCTCTAAGACAGTGCCTGGAACACAG